GATGTTTGATTTGTGTGAGTAACTGAAAAACTGTTGGCTAATGAGAGCTGTGACACTAATTTTATTTGTGAGAGTTGTTTAATAGTCAGCTCACCTGTTGTAGTTCCAGTTAAAACAGGTATTTATGGTTAGATTGCATTAAACCAAAAAAAGAAAAAAGCTCAGATTAAAGTCTAATAAAGCCTCACACAGAGCAGAGCCAACAGTTAGCATCAAACTCCCAGGACATGTTCATGACATCAGCTGCAAAGTATCGATCTGCAGATGTATTGATAAACATTATGCAATGATATTGATTTAGTACCTTGTTCATGGTGTCCACAGTAAGGGCATGGGTCCAGTAGCAGTCGTGCACAGATACAAATGTAAGACCAGCACTAAAAGAACAGAGAAACAAATCTTAAGATCAATTTCTATTGTTTGTTAGAAAAAACAGTAAAAGTAGTTTTACCTGTGGCAGTGGAGTGACGTCAGCATCATGTGTGTGGAGTCCAGAGAATGGATGAAGTTTGGAGGAAAGGCGTTCTTTTGTTTGACTGTGTCTGGTCTCCTAAGAACGACAAAAGATATACATATAGAGTGATGAATATGAGTTATTAAACTATCAAATGGGTAAATTCTTTCTTTCAAATAAAGTTACAATAAACTCTGAATTAAGTCATTCTTAAGCAGTGTGTTTTCTTACATTGGGGGTCGTAAAAGCATCAATCTCTAAGTAAACAACTACTGCTACAGCTTTTAGATAAATTGCATATGCTCTTATGGGAATCATCATTAGAGCTTTTAATGTTGTGAGCATGAATGGAAGGAAGTGCATAGGTTTAATCAATACCGTGAATAACATATTACAGTCTTTATGCACTTTTTTACTTTTTTTCTAATGATCACTGCACTTGTCAGTGCAGAACTGAAATTCACTGTATCATACTTTCAGTGTCTGTAATTTTGCATTTTGCCTGAAATTGTAAAACTAAAATAGAATCACTTTTGAGATTTTGATGACATTTGTTCTCTGGATAGCAGGACTGTTTAACTGATTAATTGGTAAATGGCATCTTAGTCTACCAAACTTTTAGTTAGGCGGCTAATTATTTAGTTAGGATTTTAATGATGACCATATCAGAAAGGAGAAAGCATGAAGTGAGTTTGGGAGTAACTGGACAGTTCAATCTGCCTTTTCACTTATAAAGATGGTGTTTACTAGCACTTATCTGTAATACATAGTCATTTTTCCAAGATGCTAATAGTTTTGAAAGCTTCTGCCAGTGCCATGCCACACCCCTTTTAGTCAATTAATGGATGCACAAGGTCTTGTCTTTAGTCGACTGAGAATTTCTTTAGTCTTTCTTTAGCCTTTTTAGATAGTACAGGAGTAAAATGTCAAGGTAATATAAATACAGTGTTGCTGAAAATGTGCATGGATGTGTGGCAATCTGCTTCTCAGAGCTGCTATTACTGTGAGCCAGTGCCATTCAAATCCTCTGGGCTGCCACTGAGCACAACAGTCTTCTAATGGGAATAGAGAGAGGCCAAACCCGAGCACACACACATAATATACAAACACTACCCCCTCTGCCTGTCTGTCTATAAATCAGTCTCAATTTTCTCCTCCTGCTCTTTTATTTTTGGACGTGCTGTTTTTAGGCTGAACAAAAACACTTGTATAAAAGATGTGCTAGAAACCGCAGCAGTCCCTCTATGTTTGGATCCAAACTTTTTCATCTTGCACATTGAGCTACACCTCAGCTCCCATAGGCCTGACTCAGCGGAAAAGTTGAAGGGTTACTAGACTAGGCCTAAATTTAGATTCCCCTTCGAGCATTTTGGTGTTTGTAAACAAAATGACAAGAATCACGTCAGACTTTCTTGCTTAATTAGTAGATGGGCAGTATTCTAAAAATGATTGATTTTAAGATATGCTAAATTGTGTCTGTGCACAGCAGAATGCTAGTTAGTTCACTGTGTCTCAGATCTAATAAACAACCTATTAAAATTCAAATTAATAAAGTAAAGCCTACCAATTATTTTTAAATGTAGATGACTTCAGTTTGTAGTGTTGTCATAATATTGATTATGCCTCAACATTAGCATTAGCTAATCTCTCTTTCTAAACACAGAAGTATCATCCACTCAAGTGTTCATTTGATGTGTGTAGTAGTTCAGTGTTGTCACTCACAACACTCCAGTGTCTTATCTTTAACTATGTATAAATTTTAGCACGACTCTGCAAAAAAAACATAAATAGACAATTGTACAGGAAGTAGTGACACTAACAGTGTGGCTGCTGCACACTGTAGAATCCAATAATTCCCAAAAAATAGAAAATAGAAAATTACATATAAATAAGTGTAGTAAGGTGAAAAGTGGCATAGGACTTAATTTGACAGTCCATTAACGTTTGGTGAGATACTTGATCCTCAACCAAAGCCACATCTGTAATGCTAATGCTTAATTAGCATTAGAAGACATAGCAAAGGAGAAATTAAATTCAGTCAACTGAACAAAAGTTTCGATCAAAGAATATTTGTCCAGTTGACAGAATTGTTTTTTTTTCCTTTGCTATGAATCCTACCTGGACAACTGATGGATTTCAAGAACATTAGCAGACATTAGCCATGCTGATTATATAAGGTCATAAATAAACAAATACACTTGTATATATAACGCATTTGTGCTCATGAGCTCGGTATTGGGTCTGTGATGTAACTGTTATTATGAAATGTTTGGCAAACTTACAGTAGCAGCCATGCACATAAATAAGGGCGACGACTCTGATGCTGCTATTAAACTTGTTCATTTAAAGCAACAGCAGAATGAGCCACTGTGTCGCTGTTTGGCTCAGGACAGAAGCACCTAAAACATTAATGTCTGCCCTGACAGCCAGATCATGTCGAGATGGTGATTTTTGGAGCTGCGTATTCCCACAGTTGGGTCCATGCGAGGCGTATTGGGGACGATGGTTGTCAGTCTTGCCCTGTCCCTCTCTTTCTTCCAATGACCTCCCTAACCCCTCTGCTGAATACTGTCGCCCCTCACCACCAGAGCAGCCAAGCAAACAACCCTAAAACCCTTCTCCAGACAAGAATTTCACTCACCATTGAATTTAATTTGCCAAAACTCTGTGACCAGGCAAAACATGCGTGTGTATTGCTATATCCAATACGGTGTTTTTGGATAGTAATCCGCTGTTTATCTGTGTATTCTGCTGCATCAATATATTCGATTTTTTGACAAGGCCCAGTGCCAACTCTTGCTTCAACAATGTCCAATTTTCAAGTTTGAACCACTTTTGCATAGTCCTATAAACATGGTGTTTATGCTAAAAAAGTTTCAGCAAGCCGTCAAAAAACCTAATAAATGAAGTTGAAATAATTTTTTTTTAGGAAAGCCATGGGCATGATTACTTTGGTGGGTTGCAACTTTCCTGGATGTCATTGGATGACAAAGCAAGGACTTCAGTGGTAACTGAAGTTGCGTGGAGTTGCTCAGAAGTGACAGATTTGTCAGATTTGGAGTGAGATTGTGAGTTTGGTAAACTTATGTTATGTTGTTATGCTATAATTATCTGAATAACTGTTAATATGTCACGTTAATATATTAACGCCTATTCAGCCTGTTGTTCTTTATTCTACTGTTATTACTATAACTTGCCTTTCAAGATAAAATGACGGTTCCTGGTCCCTGATTTTATAAAAAATTATTTTCCCCAAAAAGTGTGACTTATAGTCCGGTGCAACATATGTTTTTCTCTTCTTCATTACGCATTTTTTGTCTATTTACTTATACTCCAGAGCGACTTATAGTCCGAAAAATACAGTAATAGTGTGGAGCGAAGGAGGAAAAACACAAAATGGAACTGGTGTCTTGGAATTTGACAGTTGTACCTGTCACTGTCCACACCCTTTAGAAAAGCTGCACTAGACATCAAGCACAATAGTGTACTCCTAATCCAGCTGGGCAATTAGAGGAAATATCCACAGGAGACGGAGGCTGTTTTGTCAGTTAATGTGCAGTAATGGTCTCAAGTCCTTTACATTCACTCACCTCAGAGCTGAAAAGAAAGTTTCAGGACATTTAGTTTTCAAACTGGTCCATGGCCAAACTTTAAAACTTTTTTTTTTTTTTTAGGTCTCAGCTGCTTCTCTTTGTCCTTGTTCAGAGCCACTAATATGAGATAAATGGTGACAGAGCTCACACTAGCAGAGCAGTTCAGGAAGTAGAGACAGGAGAGAGAACTCACTCTTTGGTGTCATGGCTGATCTGCAGGTTGATGTGCTGCATGGTGCTCTTCACCTGTGGAGACAGAAAGACAAAAATATGAAGTACCAATTTTCAGGGCATGGAAACATTTGCATTTTAAGAGCTGAGAATATTATGCTGATATAGCGTGTCGTGACAAACAAAGTAAAAGAAACAGTTGTACAAATTACTTTTCTATATCTTAGACATGTAATATATAATATCCTATAAAAACAATTTCTACCAAGCATTTTCACAACATTTCAAACCACTGAAGAATCAGTAATTATTCGGACTAAATCAAAGCCTGTGGCCACTTAGATCAAATGTCGTCCCTTTGCTGCTATAATTGTATTAACAACAACCATTACAGTTAATGAAAATCACTTGACATTTTTTTATTTTAATTGCATATGTATCAAGAGCATGGTCCATGTTATGAAAGCTAAAAGTGAACAGCCAAGAACCTGAGTAAAAGTCAAACTAAATGCAGCTCTCCTTTTCTCCTAAAATGTTTTTCACTGTTTCAAAGATCCATGTTATTAATAAGGACAGTCCCAGTCTCCCCCATAACATCCAGACAGAGCATTTTCGGAGGATTAAAGAAAGCCCTAAAGGATACAGAGCATTTTCAACCCCGGATTACTGTTCAAGTATGAGCTACGTTCATGGCTTCAATAGTCTACACAGTGTTCTCTGTTGGCACACTTTGGCAGCCACAGACCTCAGCTAAAAAGCAGATTAAGCTACTGTACAGCACTGCTTTTGGGTTTTCTTACTAAAAGAAGACACCCACACGAGATACTGTGTGAGGGGTGACCTAGTCATGCCCTGTCAACTCTGTCACTACAGCCCTTTTCCTGCCTGCTGCATGAAATGAGGTGCTTACAGTAGTGCACAGAAAATGTCAGGACCAGTCTGGCCACACACACTTTCTTGTTCAAGAACACATAAGGTGCCTGTTATATTACATGAATCCAGTCAGCATGTCAGTAAGGTGGCACCAATACAATATTGGCATCAAATATCACCAATTTATCCTACTCCTGTCCCTAACACCTTGCAGTCCAAAACATACCGTTTTACACACACGCACACCCACATGCACATATTTGCATACAAGTGAATGTTAAAGTTCTGCCTATTGTTTTGTTTTGTTTTTTTAAAGGTGCACTGTGTAACTTCTCTGGTGGAAGGTCCACCACTTACTTGTCTCCTTGGAAATGTTTTGTTTGGAATGACCTGGAACATTCCAGGTAATATCTCCATGGAAAGAAGCAGGTGGCAGACCTCCATCAGAAAAATTTTGCAGTGCACCTTTAACTGAATGGTTTTGTGACTAATAGTGGCAATCACTACAAAAGAATATACAGTATTATTCTTTCGTTTTCGAGGGTGTGGTCACAGTGTGGCAGAGTGCATGGAGGGTGTATCCTGTTAGCCTGTGTCTATGACAGAGGCAGACTTCCCTTGACCCTTGGATGGACGCCTGGGTGAGAACAGTCCACTATCAGGGACTGATACAACTGGCATCAGGCACTCTGCCCCATATAGCTTTAATGTGTTTACCTTCCACTCACCCTACACTAATGCATCTGAGTCTGGCATCTGCTCATGCCTTTCCTCTGACACATTATGTTGCATTTTTATTCATGTTACATTCAAAGACAAAATTGTGTAGATACTGAAAGTTATCCAAAATAATTGTTTAAAGAAGGCTATGAAGAAATACATTTAAATCAAACTATCAATCACATACAATATAAGAGGAAATAGGAAGGCAAATTCACACAAATTTACCATATACTATCACTATATTAAAGCATTTGCACAGGACGAGATACTAATGCTACAAATACTAATCAAATCTGGCCTAACACATCATTAGGAATGGGACAATGGTTCTGAATATTCACAATAATTAAAGGATAAGTATGAAAACTGATTTACATGAATTTGCTTGCTTTTAGGTCAGAGTGATGCATGTTTAATAATCTTAATAAGGACACAACTCAATCTGTGTAGCTGTCCATGTTTATAATTCTAATATTAATTATAGATCATTCAATATCCCTTTTTAGGGCAACAACTTTTTATTGCATATTGAAATGCATGTGTGGTTTTCTATTATAGCTTATTAAACTCAATTCCTGTGCTTCAGGAGGATAAAGTGGCTGAATGGCCACAAACATTATTGAAAAGATTTTGAAACCTTGTCTCAATCTCAATATGAATGACAATAACAGGTTTATCTGGGTGGTTTCACACTGGGATATGCAACTGAACTACCAGGCTCTATGAAGCATTCATCTCTTTAGTAATGCTCTCCTTTCTGCATCTGGTATTTTCAAATTGACTGTGACCTCATGAACAGCTGACAGGTCACTGGTCCCTTGAGTGCTCAGACTGCTTTAGGAGCACGATGTATAGAGAGAGAAAGTGTGTTTTCACATGTCCAAAAGAGTAACTCACCAGAGATTTAGCCCGTTACACTGGCTGTGTACTGATTCAACTGGGTTACTCAAAATTTTATATTTTAACTGAGAATGGAGCATTGCATAGAGGAAACAAAATTGGGTCTCTGTAAATGGAGGCGAGAGAATATGGTTTTGCATTTGAAAGACCACCAGTCTCAACTGATAGAAATGGATGTCACAGTGGGATGAGAGGACTTCCTACAGTAAAAATAATTGAAGCAGTAGTTGTTATATTGGCTTTTTGGAGGGAGTGGGGGACTTGGACTTCAAAACAGAAACTGAAACGTATTAACGATTTGAGTATGTTTTTGGTGAATATAGCATTTTCAAAAGATAAAAGGTCCCATGTTGATCTAAATATGTTGGGTTAGCAATTAATACCCCATTAAAGTGTGATACCCCATCTTAACACTGAGCTGGGTTCAAGCATGATTTTACTGCTCCCACTGATAATAGCACCTGCAATTTAAAAAAACAAACTATTTTTACACATTAATATTTCATCCCATACTTATCTTACAACTTTTCATCAAAATAAATGATCTGCCTCCTAGCATGCTGTGATTGATTATGGATACTTTTACACTCGTTGCCCTTCCCAAAGCAATGCTCTCACTCTGAGCTTGGGGCATAACAAATGACTGAATATTTTGGGGGTTCAATTTCAACAACTTTTTCTTTGTCAATGTCTTCCCTGTTTTAAAGTTTAAAAGTTTTGTTTTGTTATGAAAACCTAAAAATAAAATTATTTTTTTAAAATGTCTCTTCTGTATCTACCCTGAAACTCCAAAGCATTGCTCTGAAAACATGCAGCCGTTTTGAGATGACTACATGCATAATAACTGCATGAGCTATTACATACTTTACAGTCATGTCCTCAAACAACACAAAGACAAGGGCCACATACTGAGATTACAGAGCAGTAATTAGTGGGAAAAGTGTGTTATGGTGTAATTAATCACATACTGTTTCCAGGACACTAATTTTACAGGCCTATCATTACTTTGGAAATACAACATGACTGCCAAAACAAAGTAAACTCCACCTTGTTACGCACTACTGGTTGTCACAAGAATGAAACTAAAAACATTTAAGGCTTAAATGAAGTGAAAAAAAATACACCTCTGTGCCAAATGGTACAGTAAGTACTTGAGATTGAAAGCAGTGCAGCTGAACTTGAGATATGCTCTCTCTAGGGATAGGCATGTCTTGTGTTATACACAAAGATATGAAGAATTCAGTATATAGATGGAAGAGAAGTTATTCTAAAGTTCATCATCGAGGTGATTTAGTTTTGGTTAGGTTAAACAATACTGGCTTAAAGCAGATCATTGATTTTGTGTTCTACACACAAATAATGCAATAATTCATCTTGCTGCACAAGATTAAACTGATGTTGCAAGCTTGTCAGTAAATTGGATAATAATACATACAAATAAAATTGGAATAGAAATGTGTACAGGTTTCTCTAAAATAATACTTCATAATAATTTAAAGAATAAACTAAAGATGAGAGGTTTATGGTTTGAAGTATATCAAGCTTGTCAAAAAATGCAAGCCTTCCTTTTTCTAGGGCACGGCACAGTAAATAACAGAATGTGATGCTCATCATGAAATGGTCATAAAATGTCATGAAGTAGAAGTTGCTGTCATTGGGAGCATCTCATCCATCACTGATGATAGAAGCACTTTGGGACTCTCTGTCCATCAATCCTATTTTACACGCCTCTTGGAATACACACAGACAGGTTATAAAGGCACAGGAGAGTCAGCCCGCGTGAGGGTCACACAAATGGAGGTTACCACTCCTGCTGTGACTAATAGACTTCCACATAGTGAATGAGGTCAGTGGAGTACACTGTGCTCATCTGAATGCCTGTGCTCGTGATGTGTTCACAGGAGACACAGCACAGTGAGGGCTGATGGATGGGCTCTGGTCTAACCCTGTGCTGAGTCTGTGGGGAAGACTTTAACTCACCTGGGACCTGGCAATGCACAGATGTGTGACAGCCATTCCACATGTAGGCTCTATAGAAGAGAATCCCCATCTATCACTATGTCAATATGAGCCAATGCTCTGCCCAAATATTCAAATGGAACCTGACTAACCTCTGTTTGGAAATCCTACTTTGCTTTGATTTCACTTTGCTTTTCTTATGAAGAGAAATGTGTATTGTCTAGTGCTTTGCACCTTCATTTGCTAGAATATTCTGACTGCATATTTTATATATATTATATATACACACACACACACACATATATATATATACATATACACACACACACACATATACATATACACACACACACATATATATATACATATATATATATATATATACATACACACACACACACACACATATATATATATATATGTATATATACACCCCTCATTGAACCGTCACCTTATCGTGGTGGAGGGGTTTGAGTGCCCGAATGATCCCGGGAGCTATGTTGTCGGGGGCTTCATGCCCCTGGTAGGGTCACCCGAGGCAAACAGGTCCGGGGGGACGGGTCAGACGAAGAACGGTTCAGAAGCCCCTTATGATGAGTGCAACACAGAGGCCAATTACG